CACACACACACACACACACACACACACACACACACACACACACACACGAAGACGTCTTCACAGGGGAAAGATGAAGGGCTCTGCCTCCTGGCCCTGGCTGTGTCTTCCAGCCCCCACCTGACCTTTCAGAAGGCCAGAGGTCATACCCCAAGGTTTTACATTTTCTGTTCTCCTGCTTCCAGGAGGAGCACAACCTGGGGAACAAAGAAGCCAGCAAGGACATCAAGGAGCTATGAGAGACTCAGCTGTAGTGTGTTCACCCAGAGCCACCCCTGCCATCCAGCACTCTTAGATGAACCAGCGTGGGAACTCGAACGGAGACCCCCATCTTCCACGCTAGGATACGCTGACACAGCTGAAAAGCATCTGTGCAGGAGATAGCCTGCGGGGCGTTTCTGAGACCTGAACTGCTGTGTATTCCGCTGCCTTGCTCCCAGCCCTACAGGGCCCACTTGGGAGCTCTGGGATGAAGCTTGGATTCTGTAGTTTTAGGATGGCTTTGTTCCAGACAGTTGTGAAGTAAAATCAGAGTGGAGACCCATGGCAAGGTTTCTGCATCACTCCAAATTTTTAGGGCGATGTCCTACAGACTCCCTAGTGCCTTTGCACACCTGAGTCCTGAGTTCTAGTCTGGAGTTATAATAGCTGTAACAGCAAATGAGTGAGCAAGCGAGAGAGCGAGAGAGAGAAAACAGAGCCATGCTAAGAGCCTGCCAAGGCCCTCCTAGAAGCATCCATGCCCAGAACCTACTCCAAAGGGAGAGACAGGTGGATTAACCCACTGATCACCAAAGAGTAGTTTGCTTTCATGCTGGGATGTCAATACTTACTGAGTCTTCAGGTCCAGGTCCAGCACTGTGCCTGACATAGGGCCCGGGTCTTTGAAGAGACACATAAAGACGTGCTTGTAACTGTAAGAGATAGATGCAAACATGCAGACATGTAGCTGGCCCTTTGGTGGGTTTGCATCGTTGTTGTGATGTAAAGATGGTTTTGTTCTGGTCCCAGGTGTGGGATGTGGGACGGATTCAGATGGTCCACAGCAGCAGACTATTTGCCTCATGAGGCCTCTGGGAGGGGCTCTTTGCCAACTGCACATAGTTTAACTCTGAGGACTCTGGAGAGCTCAGAGAGGAAGGGAGCTCCGAGAAAGAAGAATGCTGGGGTGCTTCCTTCTGCTGCTCCTGTTGCTGTTGATGCAGTGTGAGGAGAAGTTGGAGAGCTCCTGAAATGAAGACTGGACTTTGCACAGGAACCTTAGCCAGCAGGAAGTAGCTAAATAGAACTCTGACCCCTCCCTACCACCTCCTTTTCTCTCCTACCCAGTGTTGGGGTGGAGCAGGGAGTAAGAGATACTTGACAAAGGAGGAATCTCTTCCAGGCTTGCTGCGGAATTGGCTGAACTCATGTTCTCTTGTCTGTGTCATTCCGTGACTGTTGTCACTCAGCTCTAAGGAGGAACCCACGTGTCCTGGCTTTGGGCTCCTCACACATGAGCTTCTTCAGATCAACGCAGGGACAGTCTGTCTCCTCTCGCTAAGTGACCTAATCCAGGGAGTGACATCTACCGCACAGCAGCATCAGCAGCCTTTGTCACACAGTGCAGCCCTGTCCAGGGAGTCACGTGGGAGCCCTTGCCATCTTCTGCTGCTCAGAGGCAGGTCGCTGGCACCCAGTGAGAGGACAACACGAAGGGTGTGCCCACTGAGTGTCCAGAGGTCACACCAGGGTGCGCCTGCCACACTCGGCAGGGCAGCTTTCTCTCTGTATGTGACACTCAGGATTTCCTCTTTGCTGCTCTGGGCAAGATTGGCTTAGCCCTAAACTTTTATGTCACTGACCCCAGATGGCCTCCTGCTGCCTGTCCTGCTCTGGCCCCTGCAGATGAGCTTGGGTATGGATCTGTTATGTGCAGCCTTGATAACCTCCCAGGAAACAGACACTAAGGAAGGACAGATGCTGCATCCAGGGTATCAGATCTGAGTCTGCTCAGCCCTCACTGCCCTGCTGGTAGCCCCACCCACCTCTCAGACCACCCCTGAAGCAGTCTGTGGAAACGCACTGTGGAAATTGAAGACGAGTGTGTAAACACTGAGCATTTTGCTTGTGAAAGTCTCAGATTCTTGGGTTTCCAGCAAATGTCTCCTCACTTGCATTTGCCCTTCCAGAAGCCCACATCGAGGCAAAATTCTGTTTACATGCTCTGTGGCACACTACCAAGTGTCAAACCTTTAAAACGGTTCCTTGTACATTCCAGTGTGCAGCACGTCCAGTGTAAATGCAGGGTTATCAACAGAAGAAACATCTTTAATCTCCCTTTGTCTTTTCTGTTTTCTCTGCTTAGTCCCGTGACTTCTATGACTGTGCTGCTAACCTCAGAAGGCGCCGGCTCTTTGCAGGCCCCCTTGGCCTACAAACAAACAAACAAACAAACAAACAAACAAAAAACACAGGCAAAGCAAGCTTCCTTCCTGCTTAGATTCACCCTAGGGTTTGCCCTCAGCCCCTGAGCTCAGCACCCTCTCCAAAGTCATCAACAAGGTTGGGGAGCTGAGGCTCCTGGGAGTGACTGGGGGTGAAGGGGGGTTGCTGGACTCGGCCCCCACAGTCCCTACAGTGTCAGCAGCAGACAAGAGCTGAACCTGGTGGCAGTGAGGCTTTCACTTACTGCAAAGCCAGCACTATTCTCACAACAGCGAGCAAACAGTCACACTGCTGTGGAGCCGCCTGGGGCTTATCTCTGATTACTTAAGCAGTGAGGAGATTCCCACATCCCTCCGAACTGGAACCTGGGAATAGGGAACCTCACTCCCCAGCGCTTACAGATAAGCAGCGGCTCCTCCCTCAGTAAATCCTGCGTCTGGGCTCTGATTCTGGGCTCTGATTGCAGGGTTCTGCAGCCAAGAAGGGCATCTTCTCAAAGTGGGTGCTCAGAGACCAACGCTGGAGGCCTGCTAGGCTCCTGATTCCCTGGGCAGTTACTCCGAATCTCCCGTGTCTGTCTCCTGTCTGAAATGAGAGTAATGTGACTTACTTCTTCAGTGCCTTCGGGAACGTGAATGAATGAATTCATGTAAAATGTCACCATTGGGCCTGGCCTACCCAGCACTGGCCAGCAAGCTGTGCTACGACAGGGTCCGGCTGCACTGTCAGGGCGGCAGCACCAACCACGTGTGGCTCCTAGGTACTAAGCACTTCCTGAATGTTTTCTCCTCCTGGTGCACAAAGGGCCAGGCCCTTGATCCCACAAAGGGCATGCTGGGTAGAACAAAGAACGAGCGGAGGGGAGCAAAGCACTGTGCTCACGCTGGGGAAAACTAGCCCAGCTGAGAGGCCTGTCCCTGAGGACAGTCACTGCGTGTCCGGAGGTTAACTGCACGCAGCCTTGCTCCTTAGTCGCCTTGGAGCTACAACAGCGAATTCCTTCTGCTGGGTAAGTAGAAAGGAAGACAAATCTTACTCATTACTCCTTATCCTCGTGGATAACCCCGGGGGGCGGGCACATCGGCAGACTCGCTGGCTGGCATCATATTCAGCCTGCTGACTCCAGGCTCCCTCATCATCCACACACCAACCGTAAGTCTCCGGAGGGCCGGCGCCTGAAATTCCCACCGCACCCTGCCACGCGAGATAGCAGCTGTGAGTCACAGGAGGCTACTTAAACGCCATGTTTAAAAATAAATGGAATCAGTTAAGACTGGAAGCTCTCTCAAATCACACTGGGTGCACGAGGGCAGCCATGCAGCTTTAAAGGGCATGTTCATCACCATGGTCAAGGTTTTCTTACAGTGCTGCTCTGGACGGGAGGGGTAGCGCCCACATCTAAGAAAGCGCTATTGTTGAGAGCCTTAACTTGTACCTGTGGAGCCAGAGCCAAGCTTAGCCCATTTCCAACCCTGAAGAAGGACGGGCTCTGTAGCACTCACAGTTAAAAAGCGAAGCCTTCCCATATCCCCAGCCTTGACATCGCTTAGGAAAGCTTTTGTGTCCTCCCCACCCCGGGGGCACTGGTGATGAGTTCTGGGATGCTGTCTTTGCCCATGGGTGACCGAACACGGACGGCTGTGCTCAAGGTGGGGACTGGCAATGTCCTGTTGACAGAATGGATTAGATTTAGGGCAATTACAGCTTGCCCCTGGAGACCCAGCCTGCAGAAGGCAGAGCGGGCGTAAGGGTGGGAAGGGTGCCGCAGATGGAGATGTCAAGTTGCGAAATCTGAGGGAATCTGAGCTTGGGCTGAACCACCTGGGTAGAGTCTACACCGATGGATTAGCCAGATAATAAGTTGCTGTTCCCCTTCGTTTTCCCACAGTGACTTTCCTTTAGATGGCATGGGGAGGGGGCACCAGGCCTGGAGGATGATGCCACCATTAGAAGCCATTATCCTCTTTAATGGGAGCCAGCTGCAGCATGCCCACACAGACTCCTGGAAGCAGCAGGACCAGAACCGAATCATTGCAGCTCCGCCCTAAATACACAGAAGCTGCCACCCAGAAATGAGGAAAAGCAGACAGGAAGAGGGAAGGCCTGCGTTCCCATCCTGGCCTGGACCAGGGCCAGCTGCCCGTCCACGTGATGGGAAGCCCTTCACAGCGCGTTGCCTTTCTGCCTAAGGACAACTGTCCCCACCCGAGGCCCCGTTCATGATGGTTCCTAACCGGGCTGTTCCCTGCAGGCCTGGCAGCGCAGAATGAGCCAGTGGCTCTGTGAGAGGCCATGACTCCATCTCAAAGCAACGTCAAAGCAAGGTGACATTGCAGACTCATGCAGTGTGGCCTTCGGGGAAGCCAGGTGTTGACTGCTCTGACTGCTGCTTCGGGCTTCCGTGGGCCTCCTGGTCCAGAGTCCTACCAAGGCATGGTTGACCTGCCCAGCCTCCTGCTCACCTGATGAGGGAGTGAAGGGCGTAGGCTCCAGGGTACAAACAGCAACCCGCTATTTCCTACCTGTGTGTCTCTACAAAACCCTCCTGTCTATTCTGTAAGGCAGGCGCTTGGCACCTTCTGAGAGTGAGGAGATAAAGACTGGGCCAGGCACAGTGGGGTGTGTATCCTTTACTCCTAGCATTCAGGAGGCAGAGGCAGGAGAATCGCACCCAGGCTGGGGTGGTCTACATAGCAACTCCAGGACAACCAGAACTAACAGAGAGGAAAAACAGAAGCATAGTAGTAAGTGTGGGAGGAAGACCCCAGGCTTGTGTACTCCTGTGCTGTAGCACAGTACGCTATCATCCTTTGTCAGAAGCCTAGGCCTCCCACATGCATCGGTTTTGTACAGCCAGATTACATTGCACACTGAGTCGCACTTAGAGCCGTGCCATTAGCAGCACTCCTAAGAGGAACAGCGTGTGCTGCAAGACTAGGGAATGCTGGGAAATGGCTGCTGTTTAGAACCCAAGTCAAAGGGAGCATTTGCAACATGGTTCCTGCACCTCACACGCGTGGGGAAGAAGCACTTGCTTCACTTCACACAAACCCTGTTGCCATGAGATCCCCTCGGAATCTATGCCCAGAAAAGCCAAGCTTCTGCTGTGGGGAGATGAGGTACTGTATCCTCCCAGCGTGGGGACTCACGTGTCCTCAGAGTTCTGCCTGCAGCTACCTCATTAAGCAGCTCTGAAGAGAGTTCCTAGCTGCCCTCACGGCCTCTCTCTGCTCACAGCCTCTCTCTGAGGGGGTTCCCAGGGCAGAGCGTGAGAAGGAATCTCAGTCATGTGAGTCACTGGAGGTGAGCTTCAGCAGCAGGCACCCAAACAGATGTGCAAGCTAAATCACAGACCTGGCTAAACTTGGGTTTCAGAGAGATGGTGTACAGTTTGGGGAACAGAAATGTTGGAACTGCCTCCAGGCATGAGCCTGGCTTTTGAACCTTGAGAGCCTGGTACCACAGAGCGTGGGATAGGTGGACCGGAGGCCCGCATCCACACTCTTGTGCAATGCAGTTATTGGCTGGTGTGCCCTGGGTTGGGGGAGGGGACTACTCAGAAGTGAGGTTGACGCTGCTAGGCCAAGGGTGGCTCTCCAGAGGAAAGACCCTCTCCAAACACCTTACTTGCCAGCCTCCGACTGTTAGGAGGGCAGCCATGCCTCTGTGCTGGTTTTAATCTGCGGAAGCGCTCTGAACTGGTTATCCACATTGGCCCATCTCCTCAGGAATAATCCATGGGTCGGCGTTCGGGAATGGAACCACGCTCACCAGCCTGACCCCAGCCTGGACCCCATCGGCTCCAGGTCGTTGGAGCTCTGCCAAGCACTCTTCTTCTGTGATGCTCTTATGGTCACTTTCGCCAGGATGGGAAAAGGGGGGAGAGACATTCTAGCCTGTGTCTGTGCCTTCCAGACAGTGAGGACTTGGCAGTCTCCTCTCTGGTGGGCTCAGGCAATGCTACCTTAAGAG